TTTTTTGACAGTGGGAGGCCACGCCCCTGCCGCCAGTGGGGAAGTGGTGGGGGTTTGTTTTGACGGGCCATGGCTATTCACATACTACTCGCGTTGTAATAAAATAGAGCCAAAACCATGTTTAGACGCATCAGTGTGTAATTCGGTACTCGTGTCAGTCTTATATAATCTTAAAACGGGTTTGCTCGCTAATGCTAATGCTTTTTCAATTCACTAAACGCATTTCTTTCTTTTTCCTCAAAATAAAATGTAGAATCCTTTCTCAATAAATTTGTCAAGCCGCGCGATTAATGAATAATTATATATAAACTTTCGAAAATAGTCAGATAAACCCAGAAAGCTCTGAACTTGTCTGATATTTTTTAGCTCGACAAATCTCATAACCGTATCCGTCTTAGTTTCCGATGATCGCTACCAGATTCGATTATATGTCCTAGAAACTCTCGCTTTCAAGAAATGATATTTATTCCAATTTCCAATTAATTAATAATTGACTCGTCCTCTCAAACACTCAATCAAGCTTCTGCAACGCATTTTCGTAATCTCTAGCCGGCACGATTAGATTCATATATGTCAATACTATCCCGCTATTAATTAAATCTTTAAAGACTGCGTTAATGAATCTCTGAAAAACCACTGGCGAATTGCACAAGCCAAACGGCATTTTCAGAAACTCCTACTGTTCATGGGGTGTTATATTATTTAATTGACTTTAATAAACGTATATTTCCAGTTATCCTCATCCACCTCGACAAAAATCCGTTCTCAAGATCCAGGGTAGTAAATATTCTAGCATCTTGCGCTCCAACTGGTCATCGATTAATGGCAATATATATCAAACGATATCTTTTACAATCCCGCAATTCAATTGCCGATAATCCACGCACAATCTATACGCGCCGTTCTTTTTCGCACCAATACCACGGGACTCGCATACTCCGACAATGACGGCCGCACAATACCGTCGCGCATCCATTCGTCTACCTGCCGCCTAACGATTTCTTTTTCTTGCTCGGACAGTCTCCTCCTTGCTGATATATGAACTCATTGTCTTTAAGTATCAGTTTAATTTTAACGTCTATCTCACGCATTTTGTTTGGTTCGTAATTTCTGACCATCTCTCTAGCATATTTCTGTAATTATTATCGAGATGTGAAATATTTAATTTATCGGTTTTATCCATGCAATCTATTTAAAAGATTTCCAATAAAAAAAAGTTTTCTTTAGACTTAGAGATTGTAATTTTACTCGTCTTTATCGAGACTTCTACCGTCTTTAAAAAATCAGCACCGATTATTAGATCATGACGCATGAGCGTATCAGAAACTACCCGAACCTTAATAAAATAAACGTTATCGTCAACGTACATATTCGTATTAAATTCGCCCAATGTTCAATTATCGATCGAGCCTATTCCGCGAAAATAAATTTTGTTTTAACTTAACCGTAAAGCATTCAATTTAGCGTAACAATCCGCATATTATCCGCATTTAAACATATATCGCTACTGATATCATCATCGGTGATCACCGGTATCATCGCTCATACATGATCATTTATGCACACATCGACATAATATTTTTCATCGCAACGCTCGCTTACCGTACAGCCACTCTTAGCAGCAATCTTTTTGCTACATCTGGCCACCACGTGTCCACACTTGTTGCATCGAAAACACCTCACTCCATTCTCCTTAGCGGGACAGTTCGCTCTCAAATGATCCTGCACTCCGCAACGATAGCACCGCTTCGCCCAGTTCTCTCTTTCTCCACTACGTCACTGTCTCGTCCCTCTGCCGAACTTCGCAGTGAATGAACCGATTGTCTCCCAGATCTAAAGGTAATTTATTCAAATGCCTCCAATAAAGACGCTATTGTCGTGAATTTTTATATTCGCACTTGATCTTGCAAATTAAGGTCAATTATCTCGTCTATTATGTAATCTATCAGATCGCCTTCGTCTATGGATATTAGCCAAAATGATTTTATCATGCATATATGAGTCAAAAGTTTCGCCCTCTTCCAGACTCATGCCTCGAATTCTCGCTTCCATACCAACTTATTTGGGCAATGATTAAACATGCCTGTCATCTCTGTGAAAAATTTGTCCATCGGCATTTCAATAAATCTAGGTTAAAGCGAAACCACTCCGCCGCTTTGCCCTTGAGTCTCAACCCTATCAAAATCTTCATCAAATTGTCCGGCAACTTGTATGTCGTTCCGAGAAGCTGCACTTGCTTTTCCCACGTCTCGCATGAATCACTGAATCGAAATAGCCAACAATTTCGCGATAGCCGCTATGCTTGTTCGGAGCGTCGTCTCAACCACCATCTGTGGCTCGTCGTACCGTCACCCGATCCATCGCCATCTCCGTCATCGCACCTCGTTTGGTCACAGATCTCTGTCTCCATCGAAGAAGCTCCAGCTCCAGCCTCGTCACCGCCAGCTCTCGCTTCAAAAGCTCCTTCTCTCTCTTCATCACGTCCACCTTTCGCCGTGACAACTCTGCCGCACGTGCATTCCGTGGACATCTCGACAGCATCCTGTCCCAAATCTCGCTTCGCATCATCCAACGAATCATGCACATCGTTGGAATGCGCATGAAGTCAACCCGTGGGATCGGTCTGCAGCAAACGACGGATCAACTCGGTCTTCGATCCCGTCGCACTAACACCGAGCATCTTCAGCTTCTCTTTTAATTCCAGCACTGTGAAGCTAGACGGATCCTTCGTAAGACTCATGTGCCTTTTCACTAACTCACAAAACGATCGATCTGCACCTGACTTTGCCACACTTCGGGCCGATTACCGATTTACGCAATACTCGATTATATATATTTTTTAATATTGACTCGAATCAATCCCGACTGAGCCTCCAAAAATGTAGGAAATAAGAAAAGCGTCGCCAATCATGGAAAAACACGAGCCTGATTATGAGATGATCACGCGATGATCACAAGAACAATACATGATCAGCTGTTTTCGATATAATCAGCTGCTTCGCGATATAAACACGCTCGTCACATCTTTGCGAAATTCAAATCATAAGCGATATTAATAATACTTGAGAAACGATATTTATATTCACAGATTCTTTACAGTTATATTTAATTTCCTACATATATACAGTATGGAATGCTAGACGGTGGCGGAAAGAATATTGTGCAAAAGTCTGATTTATTAAAGTATCTTTTATACATGATTTAAAAACACGTCTGTACACGTCTGTATCCGTCGGTCGAATCTCCTGTCCGTCATTCCGTATCAGTTCTTTTCCCTATACTTTTCTCCTTCGAGATTATTTTTCAATAACAAATATCTTAATTTTTACAAATAGAATTTCGAAGAAGAACCTGTTTGCTATTATTATTTGTCTCTTGTTTATTATCTTGATTGTTAAACGTTTCAAATAATGTTTTCCAACCCGCAAGAATTCAGAATTTCGAAGAAGAACCTGTTTGCTATTATTATTTGTCTCTTGTTTATTATCTTGATTGTTAAACGTTTCAAATAATGTTTTCCAACCCGCAAGAATTCAGTCTTACAAAGACTTGAAAATAACGATCATAGAATATATGTTTAGTTTCGAATAATACAAAAAGAAATTATTACAAGAAAACATAGAAAATAAATCTATTCTCTTGAGTTCATATCGGATATGAATACATGCAACGTCTTCATATTTACGTATTTAGTATGATTCTCTGAGATAATTCGGCGAAATCCAAATTGCCGAAAATATAGCCATGAGGATCATGACGATATAATCGCCACAACATAAATCAAATATTAATATAATATAAAATCTTTGTAATAAGAAAAAATAACTTCAAAAAACTTTCAAGCATTTGTAAGACATTAAACAGTAAGTATAAATTTAAAAACAGATATGTAATGTTTATATATTATTAATTACTATGCATTAGCGTCCGACTTTCTAATCTATAAATTTTCTACAAATTTTGAAAGATATTTATTAGATTCGGAAAAATAAATGGAGACCGACTGGATCTGAACTCGAATCTCTCGTCTAATATCAAGACACTTAGTCTGCACGACCGCGACGGCTTCTCTATGTTAGCTGTTTATATTCCGAATCTCTTTTATGACTGCTTACGGCCGTCTTTCTTACAATTTAATGTTTAATGAATACTCCCAGAGAACATTATGACGTTAAATATTATAAAACGTCTTATTAAGGGTCGGCAGGAGATACCGTAAAGATTTCTCACGGCCAGTTGCGAATTACAGATTTACTAAAACATTATTATGGTTAAAATATAAAGAGAATCATGTAAAAATCGTGATATTTGTAATAAGTAGAATCATTAGCCAATCGCTATAGAGCCATTTTCTTTTTGAAAAAAAGATCGAAATAAAATTTAACATAACATGCAGATCGTGTAGTTCTTTGCGGATCAGGTGCAGTTAGCCTACTTTATTTATTATAAATTTTTGAGAGTCAAAAGTAAAGTCCGGCTCTATACCTGTATAGTTATAATATATAAGAAATATTTTAAAAAAAGCTTTCATTAAGCAATATAACTTCTCCGAAGAGAAAAAACGTTTTAGCAAATATTACTAGATTTATATATATGGGGAAATTTCAATGGTAACATACTGATAGCTTGACAAAAAAAGATTATATGATTGTGCGTTCTTGTCTCGCTTATACTTTGCATATGATGATATCCATGTAATATACATATCAATATATTGCGCACATGGATACGACTATAAAAAGAAAATGTGACACAAAAGGTTATCAGTCTATCTTTGTTCCGTATATGAGGAACAAGGATAATAATAATTATTACCTGATATCATTCAACAATTGTATACATAATAAATCGCATTATGAAATTATTGAATTACAAGATATATAAGAATAAATATATTAAAATAAAGAACAAATATAAATAATATAAATAATAAAAATATATACATATATATTTTATTTATTTTTAATATTGTAAGGTTTCTCGTGAAACACCGAGTATGTAAGCGGTCATCACGTGCGATATCGGCGCTCGCGGCGCTCGTGGGGCATACGTCATGCTAGTGCGGGTCAGGTGACCCGGAGAAAAGAAGAAACGGAGCACGACTCCGTGATGAGCGTGCTGAGGCTCTTCGTGGGGCATTTAATACTCGGAGTCAGAGAGAGTAAGTCAATTTGTAGAGCCAATTCGTGAAGTTAATAGCTTAAACCGCGAGGAAATACTCCCGAGAAGCAGTTATCGTCGGGGTATTCGCGCAGCGGTCGGTATCTTTATAGTTATCGGTTGTGAGAGCAACTAACAATGTTTACTTGTATTTTCCGTGTGTGTGTGTGTGTGTGTGTGTGTGTGAAGAATCGAATAGACATTTGTTTTTTTTGTAATAAACGAACATTTTACTCATAACGAAATCATCCTGATCCAGGCCTCATCATCCTGATCCTGGCCTGACCTTATAGCCTTAAATTCAGAAGTGGGATTCGGCTCGCGATTTCCTCACGAATACGCGTTCGGTGGCACGTGGTACGGCCATTTTCGGACAGTCGTGAAACTTTTTCACTTGTCGTGGTACTAATTTCTTCGAGGGACAGAAGAATCCTGGAAGCCATGTTCCTGGAGCAGCTTTAAGAGAAAGCGAGAAGGTACCAGATCATGGCATTGGATGATCAGTACGCATTAATTGTAGCCCTAGTAGAGCATTTTAAAAAGAACAGTCCCGTGGATTTCATAAGACCAAGGTCTGCTCCGCCTACAGTAGACGAAGCATTTACAACGCCTGTGAATACCGCTCCGATGACGTGAGCACAGAATTCCAAGAGGGAACTCAGTAAAGAATTAGCGGCTGCCGTTTCCGCAGTTACAGAACCTATGCTGCGGATACAGCAGCAGCTACAGCAGCAGCTTTATCAAAGCTAACAGATTCAATAGCAACTGCTGCAGGGTCAACAGGCACAGCAGAATCTGTTGCAACAAATAGCCACAGCCTTTGCGAGGCTCCTGCTACAAAACGAAATGCCGGCTCTCACACCGGAAGAACCTACGGCGAAGCAAACGTTACGTCTCGTAGCCAGGGATTCTCGGAGCGAACGGTTGCGGATGGCATGGCAATTCACTCGAACTCGGTAATGTTAATGGCGTCACAAATCCCTGTAGAATTCGATGGAGAAGAGGAAGAAAACGTTACATTCTGGGTGAGTCGCACAGATAAAATAGCACAAGTGTATCGGGCCTCAGACGTAACTTTATTGGCTGCTACATCCAAGTTGGTTAATTTAGCGAAGAGCTGGTACACAAGCTGAAACACAATCCGGTATAGTTGTAGAGAGCGGGAGCAATCTGAAACAAGAAATAATGATTATTTGATAGTAGGATGCCTTATAAAAACTTAAGATCAGAAGGTGGCAACATTCGAAAGAAACGTTCCGCCAATACGCCTTGGATAAGATGGCGATAGCACACTATCTAAATTTCAATCAAAGTGAACTAATTGATGTGCTGTGCAGAGGCATAATGTTGAATTCTCTGCGAGCGATTGCTCTGGCACTCAAGTCATTGACAGTGGATCAATTTCTGAGCGAAATGAAGCACATAACCGAAAGAATCAAAGACCTGCAAAATAGGAACGAACCGCATTCCCGCGGAACAAGGCACGTGCAGCACAGAACCAGCGGAGGTCAAAGTAGAGGCGCTCAACCGAAGGACAAGCGAAGACTAATACGGATAGAGAGGTATTACCACTGCAGGGAGCCAGGGCACAGAATTGCTGTTTATCCAAAATTAGTAAGGAGGAAACGTACCGGCATTCCGTCGCAGCATTCAGCCTAACAACCCATGGTAGCGGCGATGGTGGAATCGGCCAACGAGGAGTCAACCGGTGAGTCCATCGTGGGGCGATGACTGAAGCACCGTCGGAAACGGAAAAGATACGTAAACCATTAATTAATGTAACGTATATTAATGGAAATAATTGTAAATTACAAGCACTTGTAGATACCGGTAGTCAGGTATCGGTAATTGCGTTCAACTATTTCAGTCACTTTATGAACAGATCATTTTTAACATTAGAAGTCGCGGATAGAAAGATAAAAACAGCCAATAACTCGGAAATGAATATTATCGGTAAAACCGACTTAATGATTAAATTCGAGGGTATACCCGACAGAGAATTCTTATTTACTTTTTACGTATCCGCTTCCGAACTACCAGGAGTAGATCTTATCATCGGGGGCGATTTCCTGGAAAAAGAAAAGTTTAGATTAATTTATGATCCAGCAAATAAAAATGATCGGCAAATAACGCAATTACTGTTACCAACGGAAGCGTGCTGCGCGAACACAGATGCGGAATCAAGTATCGAGGGATTGCGAGATAGATTTTGATAACACGGTTAAACAACGGTTGTTAAAGTTACTGACGGATTGTGAAAATTTGGACTTACCTATCGTTGAGGACGATTATTGCGTCAAAGTTGTTCTAAGGGATGATTTCACATACGCCTATGCTCCTCGCAAACTTGCGTTGCATGAACGCAAGCAAATTCGCGAGATCACGAATGATCTGCTCATGCGAGGAATTATCCAATCAAATCGCTCCCCGTATTGCGAGAATAATACCTGTGAAAAAAAAAACGATAGTATAAGATTGTATATGAATTTGCGTCCACTAAATGCAAGGATATAAAAACAGAAATATCCGTTTCCCCTAATAGAGGATTGCCTCGCGCGTTTAAGCAATAAAACCGTGTTCACTCTACTCGATCTGAAAAACGGATTCCACCAAATCAAGGTCTATCCAGATTCGTCGAACTATTTTTCGTTTGCTACGCCCGATGGACAATTTGAATACGTGCGCCTACCATTTGGTTTCTCGGAATCGCCGGCTGAATTCCAACGTAGAATTATTCAGATCTTGCAACCGTTTATCTGCCGAGACAAGATAATTGTCTGTATCGACGATATATTAATTCCGTCCGAAACGGTAGAGAACAACCTAGAAATATTAAAAGAAGTATTGATATTACTAAAAGTTCACAGATTTGAATTAAATTATAATAAATGCTTTTACGACAAAGAATAGAGTATCTGGGATATATTATTTCGAGTAGTACAATCACAATGAGTCCGCGACATACGCAATCTATACGCGATTTTCTGCGACCTAAAACAGTCATTCAACTCTAACGTTTTCTGGGGCTAACCAACTATTTCAGAAAGTTTATCAAGGATTACACGATCAAAGCAAGACCATTACAAAATTTACTTAAAAAATCAGTAGAATTTAACTTTGACGAAGGATGTGTTGAAGCGTTTGAACAACTTAAAAAAGATTTTATTTTTTATCCGATACTGTGCTTGTATAATCCGACGGCAGCCACAGAATTGCATATCGATACAAGTGTAGACGGCCTGGAGCAATCTTGCTACAATCGCAATCAGATGGAAAGTGGTCCCCAGTCGCATATTTCAGTCAAACCTTAAATAAAGCAGAGAAGAATTACCACTCGTTTGAATTAGAAATGCTCGCGATAGTACGCGCGATAGAAAGATTCCACATGTATCTATACGGGTTAGATTTTACGATTGTGACGGATTGCAACGCGTTAGTGCGTACGGTTAATAAAGCTAATTTGAATCCGAGAATTGCCTTGTTGTTGACCTTAATGTTGCAAAAATATATAAATTTAATTTAATTCACCGGATAAAAAGATGGAGCATGTAGATGCGTTAAGTAGATAAATCATGTATTTGGAATCATTGCCTTTAGAACAAGAACTAGAGTTCCGTCAATTGCAAGATCACCGCTTGCAAGAAATAACGCATAACCTGGAATATAACGATAACGATAAATTTGAGTTAATTCAGGGTCTAATATATAAGAAAGGAAAAGACCGCACGTGATTCGCCGTTCCCGAAGCCATGATGAACGCTATTATACGCGCTCATCACGATGACGTGGCTCATTGCGGAGTCGAAAAAATGTATCAAGACATCAGCGGAACATACTGGTTTCCGTCGATGCGAAAGCAAATACAGAATTACATAGACAATTGTATTACTTGCCTAATAGCGAATAGTTCTGCCCACCGATTCGAAGGGCAATCATTGGCGCAGGATTCACCGACGTCGCCATACGACACGTTGCACATTGATCATTTCGGCCCACGAAACTACGCATGAAGGTTATAAGTATGCTTGGTGATGGTCGATGCATTTACTCATTACACATGGCTCTTTCCCGCCAAATCCATGAGCTCGAAAGAATCATAGGGGTTCCAATTTGGAAACCCTATTTGATATTATGGATTTTCCAAGGGAGATAGTTACCGATCGTGGAACTGCGTTCACGTCGGAGCAACTTCAGTCATTCGTTAATAGCGCTAAAATTAAATTGCGAAAAGTAGCCGTGGCTTCGCCTTGGGCCAACGGAACAATAGAAAGAGTAAATCGCTTCTTAAAAAGCTCGCTAAGATAATAAATTCGCCTGAATCTTGAAAAAATATTTAAGCACGGTTCAATATACTATTAACAACACTTATTGGCGATAAAAGCATCGCCTTCAAACGTTCTTTTCGGTCTATGTCTATGTCTTCTATCAATATTTTTAGACTATGGTCTTCATGACCTCGGTTTGATCAACGAAAAAATATTGATAGAAGACATAGCAAAAACATTAGTCGATCCGGTAGACAAAAGAGAAATGTCAAGGAATGTGGCGATCGAAGCTTCAGAAAAACTGCGTAAATACAACCGCTCATATTACGACAAACATCATAGAAAGCCCTCGAAGTATAAAGAAGGTCCTTGTAAGAGATTTACAGCGGAAAGTAGGAACCAACAATAACTTAAACCGAACTATAAAGGTCCCTACACGATCGCCAAAGTTCTCGACCATAATAGATTCATTGTAAAAGACATCCAGGATTCAGCATAATGCAAAAACCTTACAATACGATTCAGTCCCCGGACAAAATTAAATCATGGATAAAACCAATAGAAATGGTAAAATAATTGATAATATATCTTATTGTGTTTTTGAATATCTGATTGTAAATAAAGTTAGAAATATGTATTAGAAAATAAGTGCTAGCTGTAAGATTTGCGAATTATAAATTATAAATTTAAAATTATAAATTGTTGCTAATAAATGTATGCTAATAAATGTGAGACATTCGGGATCGAATGTGTTGTCAGAATGGTCGAAGCTGTAAGGTTTCTCGTGAAACACCGAGTATGTAAGCGGTCATCACGCGTGATATCGGCGCTCGCGACGCTCACGTGGGGCACACGTCATGCTAGCGTCAGGTGACCCGGAGAAAAGAGGAAACAGAGCACGATGGCGTGCTGAGGCTCCTCGTGGAACACATAATATTCGGAGTCAGAGAGAACAAGTCAATTTGTAGAGCCAATTCGTGAAATCGTTAATAGCTTAAACCGAACGCGGAGAAATACTCTCGAAAAGCAGTTATCGTCGGGATATTCGCGCGGCGATCGGCGTCTTTATAGTTATCGATTATGAGACCAACGGTGTTCACGCGCGCGCGCGCGCGTGTGTGTATGTGTGTGTGTGTATGTAACTATACGCATACATATTACTGATACAAATTCGCTTTTTTTTCTCATAATATCTCCCGCAAACAAGATTTTTTACACGCTTATTCTCTTTAAGCGTGATGTCTGCTATAGACATTTTACACGCTTATTCTCTTTAAGCGTGATATCTGCTATAGACAAGATTTTTTACACGCTTATCCTCTTTAAGCGTGATATCTGCTATGGACAAGATTCTAATAATCTAATATTTAACATTTTTAACCTGCCCACGAGGGATCAGCAATTTCATTGTCATTCACAGCATGTAGCCTTAAAGTTGAAAAAAAAACTGCGTTTTTTTTTAGCAATATTAGCATATAATTTATTTGTATTGACATAAGACACAAATATTTTTCTTCAATCATCATGTTTAAACATATTTCTCCTCTCGCCCTTAATCCTGATTTTAAAATGCACGTGGCATTAATGGAAGCTGATGATAATCTATTTCGATTTTTCGTTTTTAAATTACTTAAAGAGGAAAACATTCTCTCTGGGTTGGCATTTGAATTTGGAAGTGATCGAACAGCATTCAGAACATTTGTTAAATTTGGATACTTAGTAATATTATTTGGATGTTTTGGATGTAAAATTTCCTTCCACATATTATCAAAATTTAATGTGGAAAGATTTTGCTTTTCTTCCATTGTAACATCCAATGGCAATGCAATCTATTCTTTCTTTAAAGCATCTTCATCAACACTATCTATAGTTTTAACTATAAAAGAAACATCATTAAATGAAGTTTCTCTATCAGTATTGAATAAGCTTACAAAAGATCTAAAAACTTATAATTTTAATAAAAATTTATTATTTATCGATAATCTTTTACGAATTTCTTCTGCAGCAGTTACATAAAACATCAAGCAATTTGTTCGAACAGATGTAACTACGTCTTCGTCCTTGCATCAGTAATTCGTAAAGATATTCTTCGCATTTTATGTACCTAAATTAATTTTATGAAGAATTTTGTGATTCTCTGTTAAAGAGAAAACTGTGTTTACAGAAAAAGGTTTTAAATATTCATCTTTTAAAAAGTTTCGACAAATTTGAAAAAGAAACTGTAAAGATTTTGGCTGCAATAAATGAATTCGTGTTTCTGATGCTTGAAAAAATGCATTGAATGCGTTAAAGAAATTTAAAACGTTTTAAAAAAGAAAATAGGCTTTTGTTTCAATATTACCCATTATAGACAATAGATGTTTTCCACTTGTGTTTTTTCACTTACAACCATTTCGTTCAAAAAATATTTAATTGTTTCTCAAGATTCCAGAAGTCTTTCTACACATAAATAATGAGAAAGCCAGCGTGTATCACATAATTTTAATAATTTGTGATTTGTTTCTTGGAAACATTCAGAAAATTCATTGTAAACAGATAATCGTTTGGGGCTATTGTTAATAAAACTAGAAGTTTTTCGTAAAAATTCTTCGCAAAATTCTGGTATTTTATTACATGCAGCATGCGCTATTAATGCGACGGAATGGCAAGGGCATGTAAATGTTAATAAATGTAAACATACTTCTTTAATTTTTTTTAAATTGATGAAAATTTTCCTATCATGACAGATGCATTGTCGCATGATAGAGCTATAATATTTAAAAATGGTATTTTCATTTTCCACATTTCACATTTAAATGCTTGAGATAATTTTTCTGCGCTGGAATCTTTGGCATCAATATTAATTAATTTAACTAATTGTGAACGAATATCTAATGTCTCCGGGTCAACGTATCGTACCATAAAAGTCATCCATTTAGTATTACAAATATTAGACGTTTCGTCAATAAATATTGAAAATTTTGTGTTCTGAATTTTGTTAACGACACGTTCCGTTTCAATTGGGCATAAAATGTTTGTAATAATATTTTTACATTTTGTACGACTCATGCTCATGCTTTTTAATATATTAGGATCTTTTCCTATATGTTGAAAAAATTAAGAATCTCTTTTGCAGTTTGATGAGAAATATTTTTATCGGCAATTAATGCGGCATATCTAATTTCTGCTAACGTTTTACGCTCATCAAACGACAAAAGTGATTCATTATCTTCCGTTTGCAAATTTTGATTTGATTTATTTATCTCAATGAAACTTTTATATTTATCTAAATGTGCTTTGGATTCTGTGTGATGATATATTTGTGCTAAACCACCAGTAATAGTTTTATTGCAAATTGAACAAAAAGATAAATTTGCATTGTTAGGTACTTCTCGTACCCAACATTTGAATTCTTCGATATCTAACCATTTCTATTGAAAAACTGATTGAGATATTTTTTTTTATTTTTCACCATTGTTAGGTAATGATGATCCTTTTATAAGATTATTTTTATGACATGCAGAATCTGCATAGCGAGAAATTAATGAACTACATGAAAAATTCTTATTGCAAATGCTACAATGATACTGACTATTATTATTTGATACTTCGCATATCTATGATTGATATCTATTATCAGTAAGCCAAGCTTTTATAAAGCTTCGTTTACGTTTTTTGATTGATTTGTCACACATTTCCATATTAATTTTAAAAAAGGACAAAAAAATCGAAAAAGATAAAAAGAGAAATAGAAATATAATATGAAAATTATATTGTATGCGTATGTCACGGAAAGAAATCAGGATTCTGTTATTTGTCAAAATATATAATATTTTACGATCCTAAATCGTTTTTCTCCGTATACGTATATGTGAATATATATGTGTGTGTGTGTGTGTGTGTGTGTGTGTGTGTGTGTGTGTGTGTGTGTGTGTGTGTGTGTGTGTGTGTGTGTGTGTGTGTGTGTGTGTGTGTGTGTGTGTGTGCGTGCGTGCGTGCGTGCGTGCGTGTGTGTATAAATGTGTATATGGAAAGTTATACCTTTTAATCTCGAATATATTCTTCAATATTAAAAAGTTAAGATGGGGATACACGATACACGATGTGATCGAAAGATGGTACACGAAGTCACCGAAAGAAAAATGAAATCGTCGCGCATCGTGAGATAAACAATGGAAAATCGAGATCGTTGTTTCTTTCTTATTCGGCGACACAGTGAGCAACATATACTCGATGACGCAATGACAGTTTAGTTACAATTTATTATTTTTTAAGAAATATAAATCACATTTTCAATGTAATTTAATATGCTTCATTATCATATGCATGTGCGTGTGCCTGCGTGTGCCTGCGTGTACGTGTGCCTGCGTGTACGTGTGTACGCGTGTATTATAATTTTATCATTATCTGATATCAGTAGTATAATCAGTAGTATAATAATGTTACTATTATACTATTATAATGTTATTATATATAGTTTATGTATTTTACAGAGCAAAAGAAAAAATTTGCTGATATGCTGCAACAGCAGCAAAAACAGCATGAGCTGCAAATGCAGCAATTGAGAGAGCAGCATGAGCTGCAATTGCAACAGCTGCAGGAGCAGGTAAATTTGCTAGGTAAAGAAAAAGACGTCTTTGCTAGACAAATATAACAATTTAGACAGATACTGATATGTAAATAATTTTATTGGATCTTTAAAATGATTATCTGTGAAATCTTATATTCAAAATCGGTTGCTAGATCAGAAATTTGCGAACATTATTATTATATTTAAGTGTCCTACATAATAATATTGATGGTCCAATAAATTAAAAATTATTTCCAGATCTGTATTTGGTTAATTTGAATTTTTAGATTTTTCAAAAGTTTTTTTTATACAGAAACAACAACCGCAGCAGCAACAGCAGCAGCAGCAAGATAGTGGTATTATTTATTGAAATAATTATATGTATATAAATACACACATATATGTCATGTATAATACATATATATGTAAACATTAATATTTTGACACATTTAATTATTTTCAGTGCCTTATAGACAAAATAGTGGTGGACGTTCCCGTGCAAGATGGGCCTTGCAACGAGGGGGACGTATGACATATAGTTGGAGGGGTCCAGAGAGGAGAAAGAGGCCGGGAAGGAAATAGAGAAGGAAGAGGCCGGGGAAAAAATATAATTGTAAAAAAATATTATTTTAAATAAAAAATATAAAAATAAATTTAAGTGGATTATGTCAGCACTCTTACCTTTTCATTATTGTTATTTGTTGTTAAATGTTTAATGCTTCTTTGATAAATTATTACTAAAAAGAATAATTATTACTAAAATAAATAAAATTATTACTAATTATTACTAAAAAGAATAATTATTACTAAAATAAATAAAATTATTACTAATTATTACTAAAAAGAATAATTAATACTTCTTTTAATAAAAATTTATCAAATAAGCATTAAACATTTAAAAACTAATAACAATAATGAAAAGATAAGAGTGTTAACATAATTTGAATTTCTTTTTGCGATTGATATATTCATATTAATTATTAGTTTTATTATTATCTATTATTTATTAATATACATAAAAGCTATATAGTCTTTTATATTCAGCTCCCTTTATATAATAATATATCTAATATTTATTTTGTATATTTATTGGGTATATATATATATATATATATATAATATAA